CAGCCTATAGTTAAAACTAAAATAATTATGTGGCAACCCTAGCTGCGATCGACGTGCAGGCATCATTGACGCCCTAAACAGGCGTAAGCCAAACTACTTATCTTACCATAGCATAATACTATTGCATTGCCAACCTCGTTTCTGGGTGAGCTTCCACATGTGACTCTACTTGGATTTGCTAGTTAATCTAAAAGGAGCTACGTTTCCTGCTTTCACTTCGCAGCTCTTTTCGTAGCCGTAAACCATCCCTTGTAACGCTGTAAAAGTTGCAATAATAATAAACCATGTAGTGGCGTGGCGTTGATTCCTGCCGCCCGCCCGGGCCAATACTAAATTTGCTGCTCTACTACAAAAGTAGTTCGTTCGGGCAGGCTCGTCTCAATTGTGTTTTTATGTAGTCCGGCTGTGTTTTTACGTTTGCCGAGCGTCCACTCTAGAACTCGCTTCTCCCCATCGGTTATCGCCGTAGCCTAGCCTTGGTGCTATTAAAGAGAAGGCACGGTCCATTTAACTTTTATTGTAAAGGTAGAAACAAAAAAAAGATAAGGAAAAGGAGAAGGAAAGGCTGTAACAAAAAACAGAGCGTGCCTCACAACTCCCCCATCAAAGAGGAGATTTGGTAGCCGGCTTAGAGGCGACCGCTCTGCAGTGGTACCGTTTATCGCGCAGAGCGCGACGAGAAATGGGCCAAAGCCTTACCTATCTGAAAAATAGGGGAGGTGTTGTACGTGCACCCGGGGCGACTCACCTAAGGCACTACCATTACAGATACCGGATGAAGATAGATAGATAGACTCGCATAAAATATGTTTTACAAAACGGTGGCATATTGTAACAGTTTTCATATTTTGCCAAAACTGGCATGCAAATTTTATTACATTAGAAATCACTATCTTTTTTTACAAATTTTATAAATCTGAAGCTAATTCTAATAATGTAACTACAGCTATTAATTATACATGTTATAAGTTGGAAGCTATTGTCATGTCATGCAAAAGTAAAAATAAAAAGTTCGTGCAAACGCGGTGATCTGGGGTTAGGACCTGACTTAGATGGTCTCTGCGCGGGCATGCTCGCGCATGTCATAGTGCCCTTCTCGTATACCCTAAGGGTCGATAGGGAGGGTCACCATGATCAAAACTAATGTAGAACAATGTGTGCCAGTAACAAAAAAAACAATGGTACAAGAACACAGGTACAATACTGTAAAACAATCCCTAACTTAAATTACATACGGATATGCTACGGATGAATATAAAGTAGACAATTACCCCTAAAGGGCCGGTATTCGTATAAATATTGCTGTTTAATAAGCAGTTTCCATTTCCAGCAGATTAAAGGACACGCCCTTTCTCTTTGAGAATTTTAGTGGGAGTGACGACGGAACGAAGCAAACTAACAATGACGAGGGAAAAGAATTACGGAACGATTCAAAATTTAAATAAATAAATAAATTGGACTTTATTCAACACACAATAAATGTAGTACAGGACAAAATACAAACATGCTTGCTTATGAGCTAATAACAACTGCATAATTGTGGATGAAAAGGACAAAGTCTCAGCAAACTGCTGTTTTTCAGCCTCCGCCAACGTTCACTGTCGGACACTGTCGGAACAGGAATCCGTTCCTTATATCAACTAATATTTTTACTTAACTAAAACTAATCAAAACTATTTACTGGTTACGAGTGAAACATAAATAAATAAATAAATAAAATGAAATAACATTGCAAAAATTAGGACGACCAACAAAATTATGACGACAACAGTCACAAACCACGAAAACCCCCATCCGATTACCACATATCAGCGTTCCACCACAGACCAGCAACAGGATGACTTTTGTTGCCGTAGAAGCCATTCTTTGCATTTGCGTTTGAAAGTGTGTAATGATTTTTCCGTTTTCACTGGTGGTGGAAGATCATTCCAACACTTAGAGGCAGCGAAGCGGAAGCTACCTCGAAACGCTGTCAGGCGAGGATGTATCCTCAGTTGTAACCTAGGAAATCTATTAGTCCGTGCGTAGCTCCCTCCTCTGTCACTCCAGTTCAATTTTGTAGCCAAATATACAGGTTTACTACATTTTCTTATATTATGTAAGAAGCTGTTAAATTTCAAATTTCGCCTGTTGGACATATTCAATATATTAAAAGTATTTAAAAATGGAGTTACATGAGAACGAGGAGGCACTACATAACAAAATCTTATGCAAGAGTTTTGAATCCTTTGAATCTTTTGCACAGTCTTTTTATATAAACACGGACCATACACCAAATCGCCATAATCTACGATGGACAATACTAACGCGTCCGTAAGCTTCCGTCTTACTTCAGTACTTAAAAAAGGTCGCAATTTATAAAGACTCTTTAACGCGCCATAACACATAGGTACTTTAGAGTCAACGTGTTTTTTAAAATTGAGGTTACCGTCAATCAATAAACCCAAATTACGTACTTCCAGAGATTCTGCTACAGGATGATTATTTACATTTATAGTTGGGTTGGTCTCTTGTACTTTTTTAACTTGAAATTTAGTTCCTAAAACTATGTATGAACATTTTTGTGCATTTAGTGCAAGTCCATTTTGCCGGGACCAATCACATATTGTACTAAGATCTTTATTGAGGATTTCAATGGCCCGACCGATACTACTAGGATCTGGGTTTGTATGTACATAGATTTGTGTGTCGTCAGCGTACATGTGAGCACGACTGTATTTGATTTTTTGTAATAGATCATAGGTGTAAATAGTGTATAGAGTTGGCCCAAGAATCGAACCTTGAATTACTCCTCGCTCTACTGGTAGAGCTGACGACCTGACACATGCACCTTTTTCGTCCGTACATTCAACCATTTGTGTTCTATTTTCAAAATAGCTTCTGAACCATGAGCATATCACGTCGTCACAACCGACTGTTTCCAACTTATTTATCAATGTATTCCTAACAAGGCAATCAAAAGCACGGCTATAGTCCAATAATACAAGGATTGTAGCTAAGTTCTCGTTAGAAGCTGTTAATACATCATCAACGACATGCATAAGAGCGGTAGTGGTACTATGCTGCTTCCTGAAGCCAGATTGATGCAACGGGAAAATGCTATTCTGTTCCATCTGAGCAAGTAATTGTGAATTAACTACCTTTTCCAGTATCTTGGAAAGCACTGGTATTAAACCTATGGGTCTAAGGTCATTAACCGATTCAATATTCGTTTTTTTAGGAATAGGTCTAATAATTGTAACTTTCCAACTCTCCGGAAATGTACCCGTTTGTAGAGAAGTATTTATAATGGCCGTTATAGCTTCCAACGAATGAGGCAGTGTTAACTTAATCATTTGTATAGTAATTCCATCACAACCGGAGGCGTTGGAAGTAATTGAATCAATAATTTTGAGGATTTCAGTTGGTGAATAAGTACGATAACCAAATGATGCTAAGTTCGGCAGAAACGCTGCAACTCTTAATGGGACATTGACATCATTGTTGGGTAAAGTTTCCAAGAACGTTTTATTTATTACATTTGGATTCCGAATGTGCGGTGGTATCATATTCTGCTTTGATTTACCTAGTACGCTGTTTATTTCGGCCCATAATTTACGCGAATTTTTGCAACTATTATTAATCCGGTGTGCAAAGTAATGATATTTTTCACTTCGAATCAAATCGGTACATGTGTTGCGTAACATTTTGTACAAGTTATTGTCTCTAACACAGGTCGCCGCCTTTGCTTTACCACACGCAACATCTCTATCGCGCATAACAGCCTTGATACTATCAGTGACCCATGGCGCAGGTGGAGCCCTAAATACTCTAGTTTGCTTTGGTGCAAAGTGATCAAAAATGCCCAAGATAAGGAAATTAAAACAATATACCATATCCTGTACATCCTCATACCACAATACCCACTCCCAAGGAGTAACCGATGATGCAAAGCGATAGGTCTCAGCGTCAAAAGAGTTTAAAGGCCTGTAAGTCACTACTCTAGGAGGAGGCTTCTGTGCACGAATTGGGAACTGAGCCAACACAAAACCATGGTCACTGAGATCATCATTATGATATACAGCGACTGATTGAGCGTCAATACCTTCACTGCAGTATATAACATCTAACAATGTTCGTGTCGTTGAAGTAATGCGAGTTGGGTCCCTATTTGTTAGATGCATACCGTTCTCAGTCATCAAAACAGAAAAGTCTCGCGACCTACACTCATGTACATCCAAGAGATTCGCGTTAATGTCGCCCGCAACAACTACGTAGTCATACTGAGGCGCCACCGTAGACAAAGAATCCCCCAGTTGTTCTAAACAACGACCAAAACCAAACCTTGGTGGACGGTAGAAAACGCAAATGGCCATTTTATATTTTGATACCCTCACCTCAATCCACATCTGCTCCAGATCACTTGATGGCAAAGGTATCTTTCTAATTCTTAAATGATCTCGAGTGTAAAATGCGACACCACCACCCTCTCGACTTCGGCCTGAGGCTCTAGGTCTATGATGCAAGCGATAACCCGGAATATCATAGTGTTTTAAAACGGTTCTCTCATTAAGCCTAGTTTCCGTCACACACAATACATCAGGTTCCCTAACTTGCATTGTTCTTATCAGTTCATCCCAGCCCGTGTTTAATGATTGTACATTTAAGAGGGCTAATTTGAAATTGGTGAGTTTACGGTTCATATTGTTACATCAGGTACATAAATCCAATTATAAAGCTTACTAGTTTTGTAATTTGTAAATATACAATAGCACTCGTAAACAGCAAAACTAAATATCAATAAAAGTACATTAGTAAGCCTAGACATGCATATGATGAATTTAAAAAATGAATTTAAAAAGTATAATTCAAGTAAACATGTAATCCGTGCAAAACTATGATAATTACTACTACTAATACATAATTCACCACAATGGGGTATGCAATACATTTTAATTTAATTCAAATCCAACCATGCGCAACATTGGTTTCAAATGGAATTATTTGTGAATGACTATGATCTAAATGAGTCTGTTCAAAGAGTCCAGATTTTTTATGTGTATTACATCGCCTTCCTCATTCTTCCTCATATACACTCTACCGTATTTTACCCACACGAATTTATAATTTAGCATCTTTGCTATTTTGCGCGCCTCTGCATGAATTTTTTTAGTTTCAGGGGGCAGATGCTCCACCAAATAAATTTTAGTTTTTACATCTGGCATCCCAAATTGTGATGAGTTCAATGGCGCTGACACATGCGCCTTATTATAATTTTTGTAATGAGTTATGATATTGTTTCGAAGGCTCTCCGATGTGAGTGTGACAAGTATATTTCGTGGGCGGCTTGTAGACGAGTCGAACTTTGCAACCCTTCTGACCAAATTGATGTCTTTTTCCTGCAGTGGACATCCAATTTCCGTACATATTGTTTTCAGAGTTTTCGTAAGATTTTCCTGTTTCCTTTCTGGGAAAGATTGGATTTCCAGATTGCAGCTTCTCGAAGATTTTTCCAGGAGACTTAAACGTCCCCCTATGCTATTTAATTCTTTGGTCAACTTATCATTTTCAACCTCCAGTGATTTTATAACTTTGTTTGCGGTTTTAATTTCGTTTTTCAAATCCTCCTGCTGCGCCGACAAGAAATCGGTAGTTTCTGAAAACTCCGTCTTCAATTTTTCCATCGCTGCATTTATTTCAGTTCTGATAGTGGTTTTGATATTTTGTGTAATAAAAGCCTCAATATTACTGAGCTTGGACTCCAATAGTTTCTCAAAGTCTTCATAAGATATACCGGCTCCAGACATGGATACACCACTAATACCTCCCTCATACGCAGATGGCGACTTCTTTGTCAACTGTACAGTTGGAGTTTTCTTGTCTTGGTGTTTCGGAGAAGTAAGTTTTGTTTTATGTAAAGTCATGTCGCTGGACACCACTCGGTCTTTATCTGTATAATCATTCCCTTTACCTACTGGTGTATTCTCATTACGACCACGACGAGTTTCATTCGTACACGTCGGACATTGCCATGTTTGTTTCAATGAGTGAGAGTTATCTTTAAAAAACCCAGTGGCAATATTTAGGCATTGATAGTGATAGGTGCTTTCACACTTAATGCAGGATAGAAGATCTCTACGCCCAATAGGCTTAAAACAGCCATTACACTGCAATGCACGGGCCGAATCCATAGTTTGTGTGCGTTACAACTTAATGTTACCGCGCAAGAGCGATGCTATATTTCGACGCCCAGTCTCACTGACTGGTAGTCGAGCGGTTTGGGTGGTGGACTGGCGGAAACTGGAATCAAGTGGCGATGGTTCAAATCCGGGCCAAATCGTAGCAGAATTCAAATCTCTTTGTAAGTCTTTTTCTCAAGGTATGTGAGTAGTTAAAGTCAAAAAGCTACTCACGCCAGCCGCCGCTCCCCGCTAGGTGTCAGCACTACGAGTCCCCGGCTATTACACGTCAGGGGGCGCCACCATCAAACGATCACCGATTGTCGTCAAGCAGGCAATACGTCACAGACCAGCCGATGCAAGCAAGATAGAGAGGTCCGACACAAATCAAGATGGCCGCCGGCTCTTACGGCAGTACCCTCAAGGTAGTAAGAGAGGTACCGATTTTCACTCCAAAAAATATTAACACAAGCTTAAAAACAACCAGCGATGGCCAAAAACAGACGTCCGCTCACGACAAAATCCCACAGTGAAGTGAGATTTCAAAAGTAAGTGGCCAGGAAGCGATAAGGGCGATAAAAGGGTGGGATGACGACGAAAGAGGTCGCATCGTTACATCGCTTCTTCAACAGATATGGCCAGCCCACTTCAGTTTGTTTATTCTGCCAGCTATGACGAGAACCTTGGTTCTCTATCGGATAACTCATTTCGTATCTTGTCCTTCAGATAACCTTTATTTTGTGATACCGAGCAAGTGATAGGACGAACAAGTCGTACGCCTGGTAGTTAACGACACGCCTGTCCATAACAATTGCAGTGCCGCAGGTCACTGCCACTGAGCCCGTCACTCTGAGACATAAGTTGACAAGTCTCATGTGCCTGTAATATCATCAGCACCCCTAAGTCACAAACTCGCAATAGTGGTGGTGTGTTCAGGTGGATGTATCGAACACAAACAAGGTTTTTTTTTATGATATCAAGTGACATGACGGACAACTCGTGCGCTTTATGGTAAGCTACACTCCTGTCCATAACAGGTGCAGTGCCACTCAGAGTTTTAAATCGCAAAAAATTGTGGGGCACTGCCACTGCGCCCATCACTCTGAGGTATAAGTTGGCAAGTCTCATATGCCTGTAATTTCGCGCAATGTACGCACGAACCTTGAACGCACCCACCGTTGCGAATTTGTGGCCTTACCCTTCCAAATGCTCACATTACAGCTTGGCGGCTGAAATAGGTAAGGTGGCTGTACTTCCATGGACGAATTCTATCACAACGTGTCCACGTCTGCTTTAAAGCGTTACAAAATTGAAATTTCACAATAAAAAGAATAAAAAGTAATAAGTACAAGGATCCCGGGTCAGACTACCTATTTACAGCCTTTGAAGTCGAAACCCTTGGGATGGCGTCCCAGTGACCTTCATCTTTACAAAATTTTATTGAAAAAATTAATAGACAGTCTGGGAAACCCATGGGCCGGCAGCTACCTCGCCCAACGCATTAGCATAGCAATACAAAGTGGGCACCATGCCGCGGGGTCCCAATTTTATTCATATAATTTAAAAATCCTAGTTTTACTTTCTAGTATTTAAGCTTTTATTGTCTTCTTTACCTTACCTGTATATTATCAAAATAATTACCTAATTTCACTATTAAAAATGTCCCAATGACTTGTATTAGCACATTACAAGTATCATCACAAAACAAAGCTCGAACATTAATCGTGCAACAATATACTAATCTGTCAAGTGGTGGAGTTATTAGCCGCGAAAGGGACGCGTCATTATTCATCACGATGTTTCATTAATTACATCAACTTCATCATTACCATTACACGTGTTGAAATATCTCCGTTGGAGAGACCCGTATTCAGTTGCGGAATGTATTTCTATGTTGTTTGTACGATATAATACTTGTTTTGTCATTCAACCTATTTTATTTTCATAATATACAAGCATCGAGTATATAACCAGAAATAGAGATGAAATGTCATTTAATTTGTTTGAAAACAATTCTGCCAAAGCATTACAGTGACAACTGCACTCCGATTGGTCATTTCACTTCAAATCGACCAATTTAACTTGAGCTTGGCTATAATGGACAAAAATTGCAAAATTACATATTTAATATTTAATTACTGATGAACTATGATTCCGTTTCTTTTGTCATTAGATGATTTGCTGTTTTTCCCACATCACCGAATGGAACAGCCCACCCATTGTTAGAGATATTATCTATATTACAATAAATACAGAATATTTTTGGAATATACGGAGACGTACAGACAGGTCAGCTGTTGGCGCTGTACTATTTCGGTTTTCTAATTTGTGAAGCGCAAACGAGAGTTGATATTTAAAGGTGATATAAGGCCCATTTACCTGATGAGTTGCCAGTGACGAATGGCGCCTATTTCGTCTCTATTTGTGGTTATATACTCGATGTGTACAGGTAAGATACAATAAAAGCTTAAGTACTACAAAGTAAAACTAGGATTAAATTATATAAATAAAATTGTGTCCCCACTGCAAGGTGCCCAAGATGCTGGCAGCGTTCCCCGTTTGTATTGCTCTGCTAATGCGTTGGGCAAGGTAGCAGCCCTTGGGTTTCCAATCTATTAATTTTTTGGATAAAGTTTTGTACAGATGAAGGGCACCGGGACCCCACGGGCCAAATATTGAGCGATCACACTAGGCGACGACGCGAACACGCGACTGCATTGATACAAATAAAAAACTATATATCATTTACATGAAGGTAAAACCACATAAGTAACATTTCCCATAAAAAGGCTTTATTTTATATACCTATGGTAAGAAAATCACTATCTTTCTGCACGTGAAGCTCAATAACAAAAACGCTATCAACTTAAAGAGTTTTATCTGCAGAAAGATGGTGAATTTCTTCTAACTGTTACATAATTTGGAGATTTTTTTGTGGAAAATGTCACTTACGTGGTTTTACCTTTAAGCAGACGATATTGCAAAATGTGAATTGTTCTATGTTTTAACAGATTACAGTTTGAAAATAATTATACCAGTTTATTATCGTCAAAAATAGGAAACTACCTTTTAAAATGTATTCTTTTCGCCTTTGTTTACATTTTTGACATCTAATTATAATTCATACTATATGTCCAAACGAAACAGATTCATAAGAATATTTCAGTTGTGTAAACACTCCGAAATGGGTTTTTTTTTGCAACCTATCCATATATTTTGATTGGATTCTAACAATCGTTATCACAGTTCACACAAAAACCAATTTCCAATTGATGTCATTCGGTTTACACTTCTTTTTTGCTCGTAGGCATTTATTTCTTCACAACCTCACCATGGACCCAAATCTGTAATTTCATTGAGACTCCACTGAAATTATGTAATTCTCTCATACAAAATCGAAAATACCTACGCTATAATAGCCTACTAAATCTGACTGATGGAACCAGGTGCTCACTACGAGAAAAACGGAACCTGAGCACGCTCTCAGAGAGGTGAAAATAACGTTGCCCGCCATGTGCAGTCGTGCAGAACCGAATGCTGGGGTTGTACAAAGATTGTAAGGTAAACGAAAAACTTGTCTCAGCGCTTGCACTGCCGGCGATACACTCAGCGGAGATCATACTTCACTTATCGCGTAACATGTATTTTTTTATAATATCACATGAGCGTGCACACATGAGTTTAATATGTCAGCCAGTAATTAAAACGCGGTGATCGTTATATGGGTCAATTTTAATGATAGTAATTGTAAAGTGTAACTAGATGTCAAAATAATAATATCATTTCGAATAACGTAATCAAAATAAATAAATACAAATGTCAAAAATTAGACGTCGAATTTAGGGATTTGTCATCATTGTAAGTCAATGTTTGTCATTTAAAAATTCAGACACTGTATTATGTCGGTTAATTTTAGATAGATATGACCTACTCATTACGAAATCTTTTATTGGATTCCTGATCGAATAGTCTCACCAAGAGTCTATTGGATCGGGATACGAGGGAGAAATAGTGGCCTGCCCCTTCTTATAATAAATACATAAATAATAATAAATAACGCACACACTCATAGCCCGGAACCCGGGACCTCTGCGTGGCAGATCAGCTTGGTAACCGTTCGGCCACGGAGGCAGTTAATTTATAAAAATAAGATGCATAGTTGTCTGAATAAATTATAATCATATGTACATTCGAACCATCGACCTCAGAAGTACAAAGTAACCGTTCTTCACACTAGGCTGCCGCCGCGCCGCTCTAGTATCGGTATAGTCGAGGATGAAAAATGCCTGCCTAGAAAATACTTATTCACTCTCGCCTTGAAAAGGGAAACAAAACGGAGGCAGAGAATTCCACTCATTAGCTGTCTTAAGGAGGAGGCAAAACTCTTCGTGCGTATGAGTGGATGTACAACATAAGGGTGGTCCCCATCCCCGTGTACTTCCCTTAAGATGGAAAGGCGAAGGCGGAATGAAACCGTATAATTCCCTCGCTCTCTCTTCGAAATGTATCCGATAAAATACCAATAAACAAGCAACTTCGCGCAGGTGCTCGCAGCTTAGCATTGTCTATATACTGCATATAACACACCGGGGGATAATACTAACACCAAAGACAATTTAGTAAAGGTCGTTTTCGAAGTTAGTTAAATTAGACTCGCAACCGGTACCTTCTCTAGTGGTAAGCATTAATGCTCTGGCCACACAGAGGCGGCCGACGCGCGGTCACCGCGCCTTTGTTCATTATGT